ACTCTGTGAAATAAATAAGCTACTTCTTTATATGCCAACTCCTCCAATCACAACTATTAGCAGTTTTCTAAAACAAAAAAAATCTCACAGTATGCACCCAAATGGACCACCCTTCAAGTAAGATCATTTTCTTTTGATCAGAGTGACCATTGGGACTACACACAGACTCTGCATATATTTATATGCACTTGCCATTCCAGGGCAGAAATAACCAAATGGGCTCCCTTGCTACTCAATTCCTTCTTGCCACCACTGTAACAGACAAGAATTAGCAGCTTCAGCTTGTGATCCTAGCACTCTAATACTTAAAATTGTATTTTATTTATCCAGTTGACAAAATGTAAAATAATAGGCAAAAAGCTGAGGATCTTCAGCTCCAGATCACTGACCTTATTGTTGAGGAAAAAATCGACAACTTAAGTCCTGCTACATCTCTAAGGCAGTATGAATGTTATATCTCTTAACACCAGTTTTGCATTTGAGAAGGCCACATTCTTTACAATTGCTTCATCTGCAAATTTTTCTCCCAACAGGCCTAAAAAGCCAGAGATGCTTGCCTGAAATAATATCTTCAGAGGAATCAATGTCAGACAATCCCAATTCAGATTTGGGATTTGAAAGATGACTGAACTACTCACAAACCAGATTGGACTAGCAGTCATGTTAGACATACCCCTTCTAGTGCTCCAATTGTCACAGTTACTGGGAGGCCCCAGTCAGTCCCTCCTACTGGCTAAGGCAGAAAGAACTATTAGTACTCCAAACTCAGCAGCAAATTCCTTCTTTGGTAGCACAGTATATAGGCTGTCATACTTATAACTCATCCACAATCTTTCCTTTAAAGCTTGACCTATACTGAAGTTCAGCACTACTGCCTAATGCATGTCCTTTGGCATCAGCAAGCACCATGCAAGACAAGTTTAGTCACTGAAACTTCTGTATATTCAGATATTACACTGATACAGTCCATGATGATGGAATTCAAATTAAAGAATGACACAGAGCACTTCGGTGCTCTACTCCTATAAAGAGGGGAGGTGTCACAGAGCACTGAGGTGCCTGCCATCATGCAGGAGATGGAGAAGGTAAAGGCTTACATGGCAAACTATGAGGCGTTGCACAATCGGAACCTGTCCCTTGAAAAGGAGTTAGAAGCCAAGGTAAAAGAGAGCAATGGGTTACGGTCCCAGTTACAGGGTGGGAAGATGAAAAAAGACCACCTTGGGGAACAAGTATAGCTCCTTAAAATACTCCTAGAGGACAGCTCGGCCAAAGAGGCAGTGGCTAACACAGAGAGGGAGCAGTCACAGCTTCAAATGCAAACTCTAAGGCAACAGATCCAGGCGTTAGAAGCAGAAAACAAAACGCTACAGGTGGCAAGCAGTCAGATGGCTACGAAAGGCCAAAGTCCTGGGGAGCCAGAGGTGCCAGGGGTAGCAACACAGACAGAAGTAGGACAGATAGCCCCAGCAGTGAGGTTTGCAGATGCGATGCAAGAGCAGCTGGAGACGCTAGGAGCCCAACTAGTGGTGATCACGGTTAAGACTGAATGCCAAGAGCAACACCAGGAGATGGAGGTGGTGAAAGGGTTGCTGAGGGAAGTGGAGGCACAACTAACGACTGCACGGCTAGAGGGCCGGAAACCTCCAGAGCAGGTGAAGTTCCCTGGATGCCGAGGCCCAGAGGATCCAAGAGAGGAGGCCGGACCGGGGCCACCGCAGAGGAGCAGTCCAGAGAAGGGATCAGTAGAGATGAAGCTTACAGCCCTACAAGAAGAGGTCCTGCCAGCCCTCCTGGAATGCTGGAATAAGAGATGGGACCAATGGGTAGAGCAGCATATGCAAGATATGGGTTGGCTAAGACAGCAGCTGAGAGAGCTATTCCTGCTGCAAGGCAAGGAAGGAAGTGCAGCCCTCAGACAAGGGCAGCCAGTGGGGGCCGACTTAGGAGATGTGGAGACAACAGAGAAGGATGAACAGATTTCCCCAGAAAGGTGGACCTCTCATGCGACCGACCATGACGAGATGCATATGGTCCAGCACCTAAGGCAGCAACAGCCCAGGACAGACCCAGCTGAGCCCAGCAAAAGAAGGGGCAACCAGGGCAAGAGTTGAGGAGAAGGGAACAACTTCCAAAGAGGGGATGAGGGCCGGATAAAACGCCACAGATTTATGTGAGTAACATCCCTAGACAGGTCAGGTGGCGGATGCTAAGAAGTGTTATTGAAGGAAAAGATGGAGGAGTGGCCTACGTGAAAATCTATAAGGGGCCTGGAGGAAAACCCACTGGCCAGGGAAAAGTAGAGTTTTGGAAAGAGGAGTATGCCCAGAAAGCGATGAACAGACAGTGGGAGATCTGGGGAAGGCTTCAGGATCTCCAGGGAGTATTAGACAGGCAAAAGAGCCCACAATTTGCCCCGAGACCAGGGTACATGGGGATGGAACATAGAAGGGCCAGAAGTGAGAGGGAGAAAGAACCCCAAAAGGTAGGCTAGAGCTTGACCAATGGAAGGCTGATTTACCAAGGTCGGCCAGTGTGGGGGGACTGCCCGTGGCGGGGCTAATCCCATAAAATCCCGCATGGTGTGCCTTGGGTAAAAGGCGAGTTGGAGGCACCTTAAAACCTCCGCCCCTGCGCATCTGTATGGTTGAAGAACAAGAGCCTAGACCTAACAGAATGAAGGACAAACGTGTGTGGAAGATGAGAATGAAGACTCGGCTCGGTGAGTGCAAACCTTAAGAGGGGAGGTGTGTCACAGAGCACTTTGGTGCTCTGCTCCTATAAAGAGAGGAGGTGTCACAGAGCACTGAGGTGCCTGCTACTTGTGAAGCAGCAAGTAAGGAGCCCAGCTGCAGGTTGCCAGGGTAACCAGTGGGAGTCAGCTGACCAGAAGGGGCAGGGCCTGGCTCCCATTTAAACCCAGGCTGGGGCCAGGCAAGCAGTTCCCTCCCAGCAGCCATAGAGGAAGGAGCTTTGCCGGACTGAACAAAGAGGAGAGGCTAGACTGCAGGTACCACTTCAGAACTGGGGGAAGGATAGAGCACCCCTGAATTGGTGGGACTAATGTTGTAGCCAAGCGGCTTGAATTTATGTTGCAGCCTAGGGGCTTGAGCTATTTACTGTTTACAACCGGTGGTTTGGGTGAGGCTATTAGGGGTTGGAGGCAGCCTCATACAGGACCCCCAGTGGCGTGGGGACGCCGGTGCCGGAAAGGGCGCAGCATTTTGGGGTGCAGAGACTCCAGCTCTAGAGCGAAGGGGCCAGGCATGGCTACGACCCCCTGAGCCTATCTGAGGGTGTTCGAGACTCCGAGGAGGAGAGTTGGGGCCACGCACGGCTACGGCCACCTGAGCCCACCTGAGCATGAGAAGCCTCAGAGCAAGGGGACAGCGTGAGCAGCCCCAGAGCAAGAGAGCAGCGACTGGCGAGTGCCAGAGGGTGCAGCTGCGAGACAAGGCTGTGGAAAGCCAGAGCACCAGAGAGGGCGTGGTGAGAGACAGACCAAACAACGTCCAGTACATCAGCAAGGCTTGGGGTGTGGTAAAGGGGCAGATGGAGCCACACATAGACCATGAGGCTGTGGTGCCCGGAACCCCATTACCAGAGCAAGACTCGGGGTAGCAGGGAGAACCGTGGCCAAGGGGATGAAAGGCAGCCTCCCTTTATTCTATACAAGATCAAGATGTGGCGGGCAAGAACAAGGGTGCTTTAACGCAAACTTGGCACGGTGGGGGGGTAGGGGAGATCACGACCGCCCCTAGGACACCGCCCCGTAACAGAGATGAATCCAACATCAGCTATGTTCTCCATGCTGCCACCTTGGTATCACCTACAACTACAAATTCTGGAGACTTGGCTATTATGCCTAAGACACTGAGTTGACATTGATAACAGCTCCAAGACTCTGTTAGTACTGGATCCGAGGATAATAAAAATGGAGATTATACTGTGTCAACCTCCACCAACACTATCTCACCGAAGATTGTTCCAGTCTCCTCAACATTCTTAAGTTTCTCAGATAATGTCCTCCTCATAAGGAAGCTTACTGTTTGCTCTTCCTTATTAGTCAATAGCAGGAAGCCTTCTCCCAGTGAGTTATGTCTCAATTCCATGGGTCAATCCATGAATGCAAGCCAAATTTCAGGACACTCTTCCACGCATCAAGAGACATGAATTGAAGAGGGTCCAAACTGACTGTATCCCTCCTTCCTGATCTCACATACCCATACCTCTCATGGCATGGAGACTTATTCAAGCAGGTCATCATGGTATATGTCTCTGTGGTAGACACATCCTCATAATTTAGATTTCCTTCATCCAAACAAACTGCTTCCTCCAGCTAGGCCTCCTAGAACGATGCAAACACCTCAGCCAGATGAATTAGATCCCATCTAAGATAACAGTATGTAGATTCTGCTGCTCCTACTGCAATGATATCATTCTCCATCATATATACACTATTAATGACTCTTAAAGCCTTCAAAATCTTCTGAAGAAAATGGTAGATACCTGAGAAGTGTCTGTAGAAGGCATCCAAGAAAGTCACCTGAACTGTTTGACAACTTGGACCTTTAGATTCTAGATACATTAGCAATGGCAATTAATACAGAAATCCTGCCATTTCTAAAGATAAGATACCTTTGCCATGTCTCTCCAAACAGATCTAAATATATCTACATTAATCTTGTTGTAGAACCCCAGAATAGCTGCAATACAACTGAAAACAGGAACAACCTAATCTTTCTCAGTCAATAGGTAACTTCACACTTTGTCTAACTACCCCACAATTAATTTTTTTTTTATAGATGGGTTCATGGTAGAAATAGAAATGGTAAAAATTAGGAGAATAATATTTGTAAAACATGTGTTATGCCTTATTAGAAGTACAGTCTTTCAACCATAGGGAAATAAACTTAGCTGAAATCTTCCATATTTAAAAAAGTGTACAGAAGCTGTGTCTTTTATGAAGAAAAACAATTTTTTTCAGAAAAGCACTGTACCTTGGGGGTAAAATCTAATTCTTCTTCTCCTGAAGAAAGCCAGCTGTCATCACCTTCACCTTTTTCAGAACTTCTTAAATAAGAAACATAAAAGTAAAAATAAGACTCTTTCTCACTCTTGAAGGTTTGCTAAAACATGTCAGATATCTTTTAAATCTTACCTTACTGAGTCTCCTTGGGAAAGGTCATCTATAACTGTTCAAATATTGATTAAAAAATAAATGTTAGCATTGAAAGCATAAAACTTTGAAGTTGCCAGCAATTTATAAAAATATTTAGCATGTGCAAGCATTAAAGTAATTCCAAGATGAATTTTATATAGATGTCTTAATCCAGAGTAGCATGAATGAAATATATTCTCTAAATAACTGGTCTGTCAGAAGAAAAATGCTGTCACAGAAAGCAACAAATGATGTTTTCTGTTCTGTAGCTTCTTTCACACCACAGTGCAAAATAATATCAAGCAAATGTAAATCTGGTTGCATGTTTCTGTGGAAGATAACTTCTAAGACTTTTAAAAAATTCAGAAGAGAGCTAATTCATATACAGAAACTTTTAGGGTTTAATATCTGGACTAGGTGCTGCACACTGATAGTATATTAAACCACATCCTACACTTGATCCCTGTACCCTAATCAGTGTTACTGTGAAACATAAGCAGAACATAAAGCAGGTTTAATCAGAATCTAAAAATTAAACTTAAAAGAGAATCTATAAATGGTGCACAAAATTGAATGATACCATTCTATCACCCACTTAGCCCATTCAGAATGAATGGGATGCAAGTGAAACATCTTGCACTCTGGCAAACCCTCAGAAGTGGAAAGGGAATAACCTGTACAGGTATTTAAGATACCGTAATAAGCAACAATTTTTTCAAATTGTGGAGCCATCACAATTGTGGAGATATTTAAGAAGAACTAAGAAAATGTAACCTTTAGGAAGGGACTATAAACACTCTTCTGTGCATTGGACAATACTCAAACACTATTGCATGCTATTTTTGAAATTTTATTGCTAAATGAGCCAATATAATTTTGCCTTTTCTGACTTCCCATGAAGCATTCTATCTTCCTTGTTAAAGTATCCAAAACCATGGAAATCAAACATCAAAAACTCATGTTAAGTAAAAGACTGATAAACATAACACAGCCAGAAAACTCAACCCTGATAGGATAATTACAGTATGTCAACTACTTAACTGCAGACCATTTCCAGCACTCCTGTTTTAATCCTGGGAAGCTTATTTTGGAGTCTGGCTGATTATTTTTCATTATCTGAACAGAAATTTATACTTTAGTTTATTGTTTACATGTACAGCATCATTCTTGCCAGTTGTAACTTCAATTTTGGGGATAAGTGAAAGTACTGACAATATCATTTTTGATGGCTAAAATGTTTAAAAGCAAGTAGTTTCAGTGAAATATGTTATTTCTTCAGAAGAGGATGTTCTCAATTTATTTTTATTTTTTTCCACCAGAATTCAGATCAGGTAGCCTGTTGATTGTTCTTCAGACATGGATTTTCGTTCAAACCCATCTTTATCAAATTTGTAGGCTTAAATGAAAAACAATAACACAGTTTTGCAATACTATAGGATTCACACAAAATTATAACAACAAAAACCCAAACTAAAAACAATTTAATAACTAGAAGTAAACTATTAACATAAAGCTTGTAAATAAAGAAAAAAATGTTTGCAACTGTCTAGTTGGTCTAATAAAAGATATTGCCTCCAGCACACTGACAGCTATTAAAATAGGAACTTGGATTTGAACAAATATACTAAATACAAATGTGTATACAAGTTTTGATATTTGGCATGACATGTTTCACACTGGAAAGCTTATTATATAGAATACCTTTCCCTGAATCTCTTGTTCTTGATGTCTGGTTGGGAGATTGCTGCATTTCTATATATAGGAAAAGGCATGGAAAGGACAGATGAAACAATGAAATCAGAAAATAAATTTGGAAAGTAGGAAATAAATGTATATAGAAATATAAAACAGTGGAAGAAACATACCTGCTGGCTATTAAGTATTTAACAATTATGAGAGTACTGAATTCAAAAAGCAATGCAACTTGTGCAGACTACTGAAGAAAGTAGCTAAGTAGTTAATTTTCAATATGCTCTCTATAAATTGAAATATCATTTCAATTTTTTTAAACACTTCTTTACAAGATTTGTATTTTACAAATGCCTCCCTGAACTTGTACAATCCTAAAATATTGCAAACTATTTATTTAGGGTTTTTTTTAGCAAAACCCAATCCATGGAGTGCAGGTGTAATTTTTACTCCATACATGAACTATAAAAAACAGTGTCTATATAGTAGTTTAGTATTTGCCTGATGACAGACCTAAAAACTTTTGAAAAGTATTGTGTACTAAAACTGTACTGTTTCTGTGGTAGTAAGCTAAAATTCGAAGCTTCATGCTCCAGGTATTGTACTGGAAAAGCCTGCTTTCAACATAACACATTTAAATTCAGGGCACATCCTTCAATTAGGAAGTGAAACCATCTACTCACAGACACTGGTTGCTTAAGTATGTTTCTAGTACTCATTAATAAAGCCATGGTTTTAAATCAGCGCACTTTAAATCACTGTCTTGTCATTTATGCTTTCAGTGATAATGAGACCTGCATTTGATGCTCATTTGTGGTCCTTCATAAATCCCACTGAAATGGTGAATGCATCCTTTCTACCCCAGAGCAACACATTAGAAGAGGATTTTTTCCTGGAACATGGGGAAAAACAGGATACAGGCTGACCTCCACCAACTCCTGAGAAAATGCCCAAGAAAATAGTTCAGACCGGAGCTGAATGTAGGTTTTCTGACAATGTGCTATGAGGTAGAAAAGATACTTCTAGAGGCAGCAGAAGATGCAGCTTCCCCAGAGCCAATGCATAATCTTAGTACTTCTAAATAAATGAGTCTGAACGTCTGCTGGTGTAACTAATCTGGGGTAACGGGCAACTACCCTACCCGCCAATGGTAGGGAGGGCCATGTGAAAAAAAAAAAATGGCTTTTGCAACAGCTGCATGATTACAGCAACAATGGCAATTGAAGATTACCCCTGCCCCTGTGTGCAGCAGCTGCCCCAGGTGCTTGGCTACGTTCTCACACTACTGGTTCAAACTTCTTTTAGGTCCTGAAAGGGAAATGAAAAGAGCCTGGAAGACCTCAAAGAATTCAAACAGAAATGCTACAAGGTTCCCTCACTAACTTTTCTTCCCCATGTCTGTGTTGTAGGTTCTCTCATGGGAGGGCAATTAGGCCAACATTATTCAATCCATTAGTTATTTTATCTGTGGTCATGGATATAGTAGGCTAAGTTGAACACTGTCTTTATCAAACACTAGAACTGTGATGTTTCAAATAATATTTTTCTTTCATTGCATGGTGAATTTAGAATCTGGACATTCTCTACCAGAAAAAAAAAATATGGACAATCTGGACTTGACAGAGGCCTTTTAAGATCCTATTTTTAAAGTGACAGAATAGTTAAGGAGGAAGTAAGAAGTCAGGCTCCTAAGCACATAGACCCATATTTCTAGGCTGTGAGTGATAGTAATGACTTGTCACCATCTATAAAATACTTGACAAAAAATTAGCAGTTTTGTGGGCAAATGGGGAAAGCATTTTACAAAACTTTGCATCAATTTGAATCTATGATGCTAATTTTCAAATGAGTTCCAAGATGAATTATTCTTCCCATTTTACAATTGAGACTGGTGCCTGAGATACAAAGCAGGCCTAAACTGTCTCATCTGCCCATTTATTTGAAGTGATTCAGGTTGTTAAGAGTCAAACTTGATCCCTGTGTTATTTTTCAGATACACTGCATGGTTATAACCAAAATGACAACAATGAAAAAAAAAAAAAAGGACAACAAAGCAGGCACTAAAAAAACAGCTGCTGAAATACCACCTAGACAGCTAGGCCAGGAACAAGAAGAGGCAAAGTATGGAACAAATAAGGAGCCACTAGGATCCAAAAGTGCTAGAATCAACTGCTGATGTGCTAGAATCAAGTGCTGATGAACAGTCTAATAGTGACATGTTCCTTTGGTGATATCAGTCAACAAGGAACTATGTAACAGTTTTGAGCAAAATGTTTTAAGCATGGGAGAGTTGGCACTCTGTGGGCAGTTTACAATGCAGCTTGGGGTCCCACAAGGTTTTCATGCATTTTCAAAAACTGTAATTAGCTGCACTTCAAGACCATCTGTTCAAGACCACTTACAGCACTATAAAAATTTGTGACATTATATAGTATCATGTGCAATGTAACATCTGCTCTTAAAATATAGCAAATATGAGTTTATACTGCTCCTACTTTATAAAGGGAACTTCATAATGGGGCCTGTATTTTGTTTGTATCATATATTTTTAGCGTTTCATCAGATTGCGCTGGTAGACTGGATTTTATGAAGTCTATACAGCAGAGCTGTCAACTAGGCAGTTCTGAAAGATTAGCACATGGCCTATAGTCTCCTGGCAAGGCTAGTATGCCTCTCCCATTCCCTGCACTGGTAGCTGTGTTCTTCAGGGTCCCCTGCCCTCCTCCAGCTTCTATGTACTTTTTGCTCCTGCTCCCAGGGGTGGTGCAGTGCAGCAAGAGGTGTGTGGGCTGCCTAAGCTGTGTGCAGTTTGGATGCAGGCTGGGATGCTTTCACTACATGCAAGGAAAGCAGGAGCTAGGCTACCTGTACTGCAGGTGGGCAGATGCCTAACGGAGGGGAGTTTAGAGAATGTACTAGGGGGCTCTGTTGCAGGAGGGATGGGCTGTCCATGAGGCATACACAGACGGAGAAGAGGGGGCTGGACTCCCCGCATGGCGTGCAAGGCCAGGAAAGGAGAAGCCAGGCTGCTTGCACTGTATGTACAGGGAGGGAAGCGCATTAAGCTGCCTGCGCAGCAGAGGAGAGCCCAGTTGTGCTGCCCGGTCCCTGGCTGCCCAACAGCTGGACAACCTTGCAGCAGAGGATTCTTTTACATATTTACTTGAATATAAGATGACATCTCAATAGATGTCTGAGACACTGAGTTGACATTATAACAAATTTATAAATTTGCTATCATTTTCCAGGTACAGAATATATTTTTTGCAGCTGGACTTGAATTTGTCCCTCTCCTGCTGCTACATCAAGGAAAATAAAATCGGGAGTGGGAGGGGGGAAGAAAGGGTGCATCACACAGCCCCCTTCCCCTTTGCCCCACTCCCATCATCTTCTCCCTGCAGTCCCTTCCCCACCCCTTACTGTCACTTCCACGTGCAGTCCCTTACACCTCCTCCCTGGCATGGGGAAGTGAGGAGATAATTTGAAAAAACTGACCCTGAAATAAACATAATTTGCCATATAGGCAAATTACTACAAGTACCCATAGATTTAGGTCATTCAGAATTGATACTTTTTACCTTTTTTGAAACAGCAGCAAGCTTTATCACAAGTACTCCATAAACACACGTTAAAGCAGCACTTTCATACCTACTTATATATAGTACAAAGTACGTTTTTGAAGTTTTTTTCCAAGGCCAAATCAGTTTCAAATCAGTTCCAAATTCAATTGGGAAAAGCCCAATAGTCAAGTTCCAAAAATCAACTGAGCAGAATTCAACTGTCAAGTCTGCATGGCTCTACCATTAAGCAAGTATCCTCTCCCTCCCAGACCCAGAAGTCTGGGGCTTTGGGAATTCCCAAAATCCAGACAGGCATCCTACATGCAAGCCCCAGGGCTGGAGAGCTTTGGGGTTCAGATACCCCCAGTCTCACTTGATCTTAACCAAAATGCCAAGAAGCCAACATATTAGCCAAAAACTATGCATGTAGTACAAGCTATTAGTTTCAAATCAGTTCCAAATTCAACTGGGAAAAGCCCAATAGTCAAGTTCCAAAAAATCAATAATATTTATTTATATATCTCCCCATACCTATGTATATATCTATATCTTCCTGTACCATTACAGTTCTGTCTCATGGCTGATCTGGTTCACTTAACAGTCCATGACACACACCTACAATTAAACCATCATCATCCCTGTTACAATAGTTGCAACTGCACACCCACATACCCATCACTATCTTCTTTACCCATCACAATCATGTAGAAAACCACCTCAGCTCCCTCTTCCTTCACCTTCCTCCCCCCCCTTCCAAATCCCCCACCTGTCTCCCCAGTCTTTTCACTTGTCATTGTCATAGTCATCACCATCATCGCTATTGTCATCACTGTCATCACTCTCTCTGATGGTCCCACTTTTGAATGGTCTGTGGCAATCTTTTCTCTTCCATAAGTCCTTCACTGTCTTCTACCCGATTTTTTCTGTCATCTTCTTGTAGTACACCTGTAGCTCACTCACTCCCATTTTGATGCAGTCCTTGACTTGGAAGTCCATGTGCCTATATCTGACCAGGTTCCTGATCTTCCACAGGGTGCTCCTGAAGCAGGAGATGAACCGGTTCAAGCAGGCTGTCAGGGGCTCTTACTACTTTGTCAGGTATCTGAACAACTCTGCCTTTCTGGGGAGGGTCTTGACCCCTGGACGATTACTGTCCTCCACCTTCCTGGCATACGGGCAGTTCCAGAGGAGGTGGTCGATTGCTTCCTTCTTCCACTTGCAGGTTCTCATGGGACAGTTTGGTGAGCTTCTCTGCCCCTGTATCTCAGTGCCCACATGGAGAGTGCCCAGTAGGCAGTTCCCTGTGCTGCTTCCGCAGGTCTTCATGGAAAATCTGCTCTCACATGGCCTGTCAGCTATCTCTGGGTAGTACATCTATGGGTGACAGTCTGTCCCTTGCCCTTACCATCTCCTGCATCTTATGGTGGTTCATCGGGGCCACTGGGTCCTTATTGTCCAGTTCGCATTTGTTCCAGGAATGTTCCAAGACCTTGTAGGACCATA